GCAGTAAAATTAACCAGATGGTTGTTATTCACAATCTCTTAGATTTTTCTTCCATCAGTTTACTTTAAAACCAAATAAGAATTTTTGTTTGTTTTCGAGACAAATTATCTATTCTGATGATGGCTACAGTTAGTTTAGCTACCAAAGACAACTGGAAGTCATAATTCTACATATTTGGTATTGCAGTAGACTATTTATACTGGATTATATCACTTGTATCAATTCGCTTTTGCTAACAGACCACCCCCAAGTTGCTGATTACAGAATTGGAAATTAAGTTTTGGGGTGATTTTTTTTTTTGTAAGATTTTATTTATTTATTTGAGAGAGAGAGAGAATGAGAGATAGCATGAGAGGGAATAGGGTCAGAGGGAGAAGCTGACTCCCTGCTGAGCAGGGAGCCCGATGTGGGACTTGATCTCGGGACTCCAGGATCATGAACTGAGCCGAAGGCAGTCGCTTAACCAACTGAGTCACCCAGGTGCCCTGGGGTGATTTGTTAAGGCAGCAGAAAGCAAGAGTTCTTAAACATCCTAATAGTTTTGTGTTGTATAGGTACGTTCCTAATGGAATTTTTGTTGTCTTCCTTAGATTAATCTAATAGCTCCTCCTCGGTATGTGATGACTACAACAACCCTGGAGAGAACAGAAGGGCTCTCTGTTCTCAATCAAGCTATGGCTGTTATTAAAGAAAAGATTGAGGAAAAGAGGGGTGTCTTCAATGTTCAGATGGAGGTAAGATCTGTAGCGTTTCTATCTTTTTCTTAAAATATGTAAGAAATTTAGGGGCTCCTGCCTGGCTCAGTCGGTAGAGCATGGAACTCTTGATCTCAGGGTTGTGAGTTCAAACCCCATGTTGGGGTTAGAGATTACGATTGATCGATCAATAGATAGATATAGATAAGAAATTTAAGTCATCTAAATGATTTGCATTCTAAAATCCTTAATCAAAAAATAAAATCCTTAATCACAGTGTTTCAAAACATGAGATATATGTAGGATTATAACACTGCTAAGCCTAAAATAATCATTGACTCAGAGGGTTCTAAAAGGGCTTCTTAGGAGTAAATGAGAACTGTCGTGTGATGGTTATTCACGACTGAGGTCACTGATGGTGTTAGGTTTATGCCCCCGCCAAAGGAAAAAATTAGGCAACAAAAAATGAGTGATTGATTATTGTCAGAATTTAATACGGAAGGCTTAAAATTTGATCTGAGGATTAGAAACAGCATTAGTTTATTTTCCTCATCTCAACAAAAATGAAACCTATTTAGAAAGAAATAGTAATTTATTTTGAATCCAGAAGATGCATTTTTACAAGACATCTTGTGGGTTTGAAAGATACAGCCACTGAGATTATATTTTTTCAGTTTTGGCTTACAGAAATAACAGACAGGAATATTCTGTCTTACTACACATTCATTTTTTTTTTTCCTAAATTGTGTTACTCTCATCCATTTCTCCCAATATTTATCTAATGGAATTTATTAATGATGCAGTAGCCTTCAAAAATGAACAGATAGAGCAGAGTTGTTAGGACAGGTGGTTCTTTAAAAAGAGTTAAAATCTAGGCAGTAATAGTGTTGAAGTGGAATTTGCATACTGTTGAACTACCTCACTTTGAAATGATGCCTCTGCTTCCACAGCCTAAAGTGGTCACAGATACAGATGAGACCGAACTTGCAAGGCAGCTTGAGAGGCTTGAAAGAGAGAATGCAGAAGTGGATGGAGATGATGATGCAGAAGAAATGGAAGCCAAAGCCGAAGATTAACTTTGTGGGAAACAGTCCGGTTTAAGGAACACAAAGCAGCCCTTCCTGGCTGTAAACCCTAGACTTGAAAGTTTTCCAGTATTGAAAACTTCAAAGCTGAATATTTTTTATTTCCAAGTATTTAAATGTTCCAACAGACCAAAACGTGACATGCCCTCCTAAAAGTCAGCTGTTTTCACACAAGAGCTCCAACATTCAGCAGTTTTTAAGGGAGTGGGCCTAACTTCACTAGAGACAAATCTTTAAGAACAGTCATAAAATTGAGCTTGTGGTTTCCATTTCTGATGTCTCCAGATTGGCACCCCTTTGTAGTTCAGTGCCTCCCTGAGATTTACCAGGAGCACCCAAAGCAAATAGCCTCAACCTTTCTATATAAAATGTATCAAGCAAACATTAAATAAATTTCTGGGATATTTAACTATAGGCTTCTTCCTTCTTGTCACCAGTTAAAAGCATTATGATTACTAAGACCCTAATTCTATTACTTCCATTTTAGTCTAGATGTAGAAATACAGGGGCAGGTGACCAAAAGATCTATATAGTGGATCCTTTCAAAAGGAGGGTGTAGAGAAAATAATTTTAACCACAGTTAAAGTTGACTCTTAGGGGGAAAAAGCCTTAAAATGTGAATTTTAAAATTACATAGGATGTGTGCCTTTTACCAATATATGGTAAATATTGAACAATATATGGTATGAGAACAATATATGGTATGAGGGAGAATTTATCACACTGGTCCTTGTTGGTGTACTAAGCTGCTTTCCCTGAGTTTGTAATTCAGGGTGGTAAAGTTTTTTGTTTTCTTTTGTTTTTAAAGATGCTGCTGCTTTAGTTATTTAGAGTATCCTTGCCCAACTTTTGATTTTTTTTCCCCCATTAACATATTCACTAGGTGCCACCTAGAGCTTCAGCTCTTTATAACGAATAGGGATCTGATTAAACACAGTTGAAATGATTTTTCTACATTTCCATCGTTTTTGTGTTTAAGCGCTAATTGTTTAAAAGGTATATGAATCTAAAGGTAAATAAATAATAAAAGTAAATAGATTTCATAGATAACACATGGTTAGAAGTTAGAGTTACATTAGCCAGGGTGTAGAAAGTGTTGTTACTTAGGTCTTTTTCATAGATTTAATCTCTTAGGATACTTGAGGTACTAGATTTATTTTATTAATTATTCCTAAGAATAGCTATTTAAATACTTAAAAGATTAAACCTAACCCACCTTAACTGAGTACTAGACTTAATTCAATATTAAAGGGACTGGAAAATAGAAGTGTGTTGGTGAGACAGTTTATGCCATATTTGGTTTGTCCCTGTTTAAGCAGCTTTTTAAGTCCACAAGTATAACCTCATTATGACTACTGCCACGAGGTAGCCATGATTGCTAGTACATGCCATACTGGGAATATTTAGAGGAGGAGCTAGGTGTATTCAAAATTGGCACATGATTTTCATTTTGGTCTTTTTGAGGAGTCAGAAAACAAGTCTATAAAGTTTGTGGCATCAAGAATGTCCTCAATATATAACAGGTGCTCCTTAAATGTTTGTTGTAGGCAGGGGAATTGAATTGAACTTCCACTTTGTTTCCTGAATTTTTTACACTTCAAGGCATAACCATTGAGAAATACTGGTGACCTCCATGGTGAGTGATTTTTATCCCATGCAAGCCTTTCGCTCAGTTCCACAACAGTTTTGCAAAATTTATGACCCTTCCCAGAGAAAAGATTAATACTTCACTGATACCATTAAGGAAAGACCTAATTAAACTTAAAGCATACATACCTGCTAACCTAACAATACCACTTTCAAATATGAGGACAGGCTACACACCCAGCTCTAAGTAACCTGAGGAACAGATTGACAAAGACAACTGACCAGTTTATCAGTTTATCCGAATCTCGGATCACCATACAAAGACTTTTCATTAAAAATTGACAATTTCATCTCCCCATTCTGCCTGTGCATTAAAGTGGTTATCAACTCATACAGCTGAAAATCAGCAATAGTTTGGGTCTTGTTTAATCGTAACTGAAAGTCAAAAGTAGCTGAGAAAAAAATGGGAACATACATTTTCATTTGCTGTGTTCTGTAGCAAAACAAGACAACCAGTATGTACATGGATGATATTTAGTGAGAACCTACAGAGACGGAGGCATTGCAGTTATTACTCTGCCATCCTTTCAAACACTCTTGACCTAGCTACTTTTGTGTGAAGAACCATTATATTAAAATGGTTTGGGATTTTTTAAAAATCTAAGTACTAGTACTTTGGCAAGAGTTGCCTCAAGGTGATGGCCATCTACTTTTTCAACACAAAGATTCTGATACCCCTATACAGAACAGGGTACAATTGTGCCAATTTGGGAGTCAAGCCATCAAACCAAATGCAGTTTAATTTAGATAAACACCTGTTGATATTCAAAGAGCAATAAAGAAAGAGTTCCAGGGACATTAGACCTTGGTGAAAGGCCAAATGGAAAATGGTGCTTTAAAAGGCAGTCTCTTACAATGTAAGGAATAAAATAAAACCTCATTAGCTTGGGATTCCTGATCATGCAGGTCAGGTATTCAAGACAAGATTAAGAGGAGACAGTTCACACTATTTAAAAGGAAAATTTTTTCCTTAAGCACTTTGGAAGTATCTACTCCCCATAAATGTAAGTTACATATCTATTCATTAAAGGAAGTCTAAGCACTTGTACTTGGCAAGAATGCTGGCAGTAGCTTGTGCCAGATTACTGTATAAATTTGAAAGTAATAAAAATGTTTTTAAAGATATTGTATGATACAGACTTTTCACTACTTCAGATTAACCTCCCAACTGGTGAAGCTTCTTGGTACCTATGTCTCAGTTAATGTTCACTTTAAAACCAAAATTTCATTCCCTAATTATTTTACCGTTTACATCTTTCTCTGTCCTTTAGCAGCTCCTGCTGTGTGTCTTTCTGAATTGCCATTTTTCATAGAAATGCTGTAGTTTTACTCTGTTGTATGTGTGACTAATCTCCAACTGAGTCCATGATTTCTGTAGTGTATACTTACGCAGGCTTATTTTTCAAAGCAAAACAATGTTCAAAATTCTGCCACTATCCCCCATTTTAAGATGAAGCATGTCTTAGTGACAGAGATCACTTGAGATATTTTCATAATCTTACATAATTTGAATAGCCTCAAGCATGAAAAACCTTTGAAAACTATAAAAACTTTACACAGGAATTCTAACAGCTAGAAATGTCTGTTTTTATTCATTCCAGAGAAGGAGTTAGTTTTTGACAGCATTTCAGAGAAAGCCAACATGAGACTAGTGTTTTATTTAGTATTACAATATGGCTAGTTAGTGTTACAACAGGAAAACCTACTTTGGTGCCGGAGGAATAGCTAGCTGTGAGGATGGGCGAAAGTCAAGATGCTGATGCCTCATGGCGATTCTAGCATTTCCAGGCTGTTAACAGGAAGGTGGGGAAGGAAAAAGCACCACTGCCAATTGTGAGCAAAGGAACTCCAGTCTCACTGCAAGCTTTGCATACAAAATATACAGCGGCTAAAAGTCTTAACACACTCCCATTCTGCAGGCAATCCTGTCTGTACCATTCTGGTAGGAGGGAGGAATCCTGTTCCTTTGGGAACACATTTCCTTGTCACGTTAGCTTTTTGATAGCTTCAATCCACTCAGTTCGCTCAGCCCTGCTGCTGGCCTGGATATAATAGTGTGTGTCATCCTTGGTAATCACTTTGAAGAGATTCCCCTGGACATTCCCTTTAACCCCTAGACAGAAGAGAAATTTGTGAATATCCGTGTCTGCTTTCAGCCAGAAGTCAAACTGAGCCACAAACAAAAATACACACGATGAAGTATTTCTTACATACCAATGTATGTGGTTAGGGAATCCCACCAGATGCCCGCTTCCCTCTTTTCCTCCTTTCCACTCCCCGTCCCTCCGCTGTGCCCTCTTGGCCTGCTGCCTACGCTAACCACAGATCCACAGTTCCATTCACATCCAAGAATCCAGAATGTTCATGTTAAAAATAGGCAGATTTGGGACTTGACTTTAACTTGTTTAGCTTCTTTGAACCTCAGTTTCCACATCCATAAAATGGGAATGATACTGTCTTTCTTAGCTGGCTATTGTGAAATTAGTGCGCTAATCGATACTCACGTGTGTTGCTAACCCTTAAACAGTGTGTAGGCTGCTATTCTTAGGTGGAAGCTTATGTGCCAGTAAGCACAGAAACTGAGGGGAAAGAATACCAGAGATAAGGAGTATTTCATTGTGTTGTTAAAGCACTGAGAAGACCCCACACGCCCTTTTCCCTCATTCTGAAATTGGCTCTAAATCTCAGGCTATTCGTCGTCTCACTGAGACCGTCTCACCGAGCCCCCGTCGCTCAGTCCGTCGGCAGAGCGCCGCTGTGAGAGCGACCGGCGGGGAGCACCCCGAGGCCTGCAGGCCGGCCCAGAGCTGCACCTTACCAGTGGGAACGCCGTTATCCTCCAGAGCAGACACGAGTGAGCCGCGAAGAGAAAACCCACCCACTGGCCGGTTCTCCTCCTGCAGCAGGAAGAATTCCTAATGAGACATAGTGTGAATGCACAAAAGGGAGGAGTCGCCCTCTTGCCTGAAACCACCCTGAGGCCAGCTGACGGAGTCAGTGAGAGTCATCTGTAATAGATGAGGCCGAATTTGGACATCACGTGGCCATGTTACATGCACCCTAAGGAAGTCTGCGCTTCGTTTCACTGCCGATGGCCGGCAGGGCCACCCCACACTCCCCCCTGGCCCCCCGGCCCTCCCTGGCGTCTGCCAGGGTCCCAGAGGGCTCCTTCTCACTCCTTCAGGCACTCCCCTTAGGGCGGGGACTCTTGACAAGCTTGGTGAGGGAGGAACTGCCCACTCTTCGATAGTTCAAAAACTGAATGAAAATCATACATCTACCAAGACAAGCCTGGACAGGCCAGCTCAAAGACCATTTATCTTTGGTTTTGACTGGAATTCGATCAACTCATCATACAATAATACTTATCTTCTGAAACTCAGAGTAGCAATTCTTTGATCGGTTAGAATCAAATCATAATTAACCATAGAATCAAATCATTACTAATCACAATTAGTAAATTATGGCTTAAACAGTACATGATAAAAGAAACTTTCCACAACATCAGTGGGGACAACGGGTTGAGGGGCAGAATTCATGAGATCTCCGCACAGAAAGGGGTGAAGAGGCTGGGGAGCACCAGTTAGGAGTCTCCTTTATCAGCCCACCCCACCTTCCCCAGTCCCACAAAGAGCTTTGGAGAAACAAAAAGACGCTTTGCTCTCAGAATAATGATAAGCCTCAGCAAAGGCAACAGCGTGCTGAGAGAAAGAAGTGATCAGACCGCTGAGTGTGGCTTGGATCATGGGAGGAAAGGCATAGAGCACAGCGGAAGTGAGGGCAGGGACGCTGGGAGGAAGGAAGCAAATGCCAGCTGCCCGCTGGGCTCGGGAGACAAGTGTCTGAAGCCTCACACCCGGGTGCCGAGTGGACATGCGGCACTCACTTTGGAAGGGTCATAGTAATGCAGGAAAGCCGGATCCTTCCTCAGAACAAAGCGCCGCACCTTCCAGTTTTTCCTCTTGTGCCCCTAAGGCAAAGAAAGGGTTCAAGGCTCATCTGTGACAGCTCTGTCCCTCCCTCCCACTTCCGTGCATCAAAGCTTGCTACAGTGGACTACTTTCTGGAAGGAGTCTGCTGGAGACCCAAGGATTGCAGAGACGCAGACCTCCCTGCTCAGAGACACTTAAGCAAAAACTTGTCACAGTTAGTTGAGCTGACAGAACCAAAGAGGGTCAGCACTGAAGGGAAGGGGGAGCATCACCCAGACCCCGGTCAGGGTGTAAGAAGGACAGGGAGGCAGCAGGTGTCCACTGGACCAAGAGCTCACAGGCAAACTGGAACCCGAGGGCACCAACTTTTAAGTGTCAAAAGCAGACCTGCAGCTGCATGGATATATGCATACACATCGACAGTAAAAAACACTTTAACATTCCGCCTCAGAAAAAGTAGGAAATGATCGAGTCAATGTTAAAATCTAAATGTGTAAGATATTTTTTTTTAAAGATTTTATTTATTTATTTGACAGAGACAGAGAGAGCGAGAGCAGGAATACAAGCAGGGGGAGTGGGAGAGGGAGAAGCAGGCTTCCCGCTGAGCAGGGAGCCCGATGTGGGACTCGATCACAGGACCCCGGGATCATGACCTGAGCCGAAGGCAGACGCTTAACGACTGAGCCACCCAGGCGCCCTAAATGTGTAAGATATTGATGTGTATTACTGTCTTTGGCTTCACCCCCAAAGATCACAACGCTTCCTTAGCGCTCTAGCCTGGAGCCTCCGGAGTCCTTGCCCATCCGCCAGGCCCTGGCTACCCACCCTCACTAGACTCCCACAGGCCTGGGAGGCGGGGCCCCTGGGGGAGAGAGGCAGTCGCCGGCATGGCAAGTAATCTAAGAGCAGGTGGGGGTCCTGACATGCAAGCAGCAGGCGACAAGGACAACGTGTGCCCCAAGTAACAGGAATGGCGCCAAGCAGTGTATGGGTCCGTTGGCCAGACACACCCGTTCACACGGCGTGCAGGATTTGCACCAACACAGGCGGTGTGCAGAAGGCCCGCCTACACGTCCCGCGCCGGGACATGCTGGTTCTGTTCACAGGATGGCCTGTGTGTCAGGCACGCAGTGTGCCCATGAACAGGCTGCTCCCCCAGACGCGGGCAGCAGTAGTGACCACGGTCAGTTTTTAAACACTGACGTGACACCACAGAATGTCACCTTCAACCTACTGAAGTGAGTGGACAAAAGACTTATTTTTTGTTCAGAAAGTGTATGAGGGAGGCGTGCGGCGTCCACAGAAGAAGGCCAAGACCCCAGGAAGCGGCAGGGAGCCGAAGGCCGGCAAGTGCGTAACAGCAGCCCGGCAAGCGACACTCCTGCACACGAGCGCACGCGGCGGCTAGTGCCACACACGGCTTCTCGAGACTGGGATGGTGACTCGTGCACGTCTCCCCTGAGCCCTGGGACTCTGTGGGGGGGGGGGGGGGGAGACACTGTGTGAGAGAGAGAGAGAGAGAGAATGGGCATGTCCGTGCCTCTTGATCTGCTCTCTGCAGGTGCCACTGTATCAGGTTCTGCTGGTATCGAGCGCCCGCCTCTGGCATTCCTGGCCCTTCCCACCCTCTGGGGGCCTCTGCCCATCTCCCCGCCTCCGAGGCAGGCGTACCTGCTTGGCCAGATAGCCTTGTTTCACCACTGTGCCACTTAACTCCACAGTGCTGAGACTGATGTCTTCCTTGGAGCTTATCTTCTTCTTGTAGCTCTCAGCCTAGCGGAAAGGAAAGAACAAGGGCTCTGCTACTGAAAAAGTCCCGGTTCCAGGCTCTGGGGGCTACCACAGGGGAAAGGAAAATCCTCGATACAGAAACCTCACTCCACCTGGGGGGAAAGAGGTCCCCCAACCCTAGGCCTCTTGCCCATGACTATGCACCCCCAGCCCTCACTCTGTTATCTCCTCCTTCCTCTGCCCCAATGGCAAGAGGAACTCCCTCCCTAACTTACAAAAGTGTACAGGGCCGTGGAGTCATCCAGGAACTGTTCAGCCAGGTCTCCAGAGCGAATGGCTCCCATGCTTCGGACACCTACCGGCCTCAGGAAGTTCTCTTCCATGAGCATGGAGGCCAGGGTCACGGCCTCCAGACGGTTGGCAGAAAAGCTGTTGGAGATGAGCCAGTCCACCAGGGAGGAGCCTGCATTGGGGCAAGGGCAGCACCAGTCAGGCGACAAGCTACAGACTAGCCTCCCTGGGGGTATTTGGCTGTGACCTCATTGACCTTAACCTTCTGGGCAGCCTTGGGCTCTACCTAAGAGCAGACCCAGGGTCACACCCACACGTGGCCATCTCAGACCAGCCCAATGGCCAAAGGCCGCTCTGTCCTCAACACAGGAGGACAAGCATGGCCGAGTCCCGGGTCACTGTGGTCCAGTTTCCACCGCCCGCCCCAGCCCCCAAGAGGGGAGGCTCACCTATGAAGGTCTTTTTGTAGGTGCTTCCCTGCTCCATGTTGGGGCTTGGCCGGATTCCACCGCTGCTGTCGTGCATCTTGTCCACAATGCAACTACAGGAAGGCAAAGGAGAGGGGACCCTCATCGCAGCAACACCATGAGGGAGGGGTCAAGGGTATAAAGCAAGGGGCAACCGGTGTGATACACGTCACAAAGTGGGGGGGGGGGTATTCCCTGATGCATTGGAACTGGAGAGGAGGATTTTCAGATGTTTCGTTTCTTCTGCTCCTCTAAAAGCTCTAACGGTCCTATATGAGACAGGTATTACTTTTGCAGCAAAATTAAAGAGCTGTGACTTAAATTTTAGAGCAAAAGAACATACAATAATGATTCTCTATGATCTACATAAAGTGTGACCTCCTCCAGCTACTTCTCAAAGTCACCCGTCACTTGAGCCCACTCCTTCCCGCCTGCTCCTGCCCCCAACTCCTGCCCCCCCCGCTGCTCCTCCCCCCCCCCCCGGCCGCCCCCGCCCCCCCCTGCTTCTGCCCCCCGCGCTGCTCCTGCCCCCTGCCCTGCTCCTGCGCACCCCCCGCTGCTCCTGCCTGCTCCTGCCCCCCCACTCCTGTCCCCCTCCTGCCCCCCTGCCCCCGCGCTGCTCCCCACCCCCCACCACCATGCTCACCATGGTCTAACAGCACCCTTGCTGCACAATCAAGATTTCAGCGCCTGGCATGGAGCTCTCTGCGAGCCCAGAAAAGGACTGGTCCTGTGTCTCTGATGGGTGTAACAGTTCTGCTACCTGGGAGCTTCGGGGGCGTTGCCTGCAGAGGTAACCATCTGGGGGATGGAACTCCTTTCATACATGCCTACTTCAGACAGCTGCCTCCACCAATGACCTGCTTTCTGTTCTGTGAAGACGATTCCTGCCACCCATGGAGGACCTTTTCTCATTTCTTACCTACATCCTTGAATTGGAAAGCCCCCCGGGATGAGATTGGAGGTATTCCCGGTTGCATCTCCTGAGCACCTCGTGCAGCGAAGGGCATGCAGTCGGCACTCTATAACTGCTGCCTGAATGAATGGCTGGACGAGGAACCTCACCGAGCAAGAATACAGCTGCTACCTGAACTCATCACTCTTGCCAGCAGGCCGCAAACAAGCCCGGGGACGCGGCGAGTGGAGATCCCTAGGGGGCTGTGACGGAGCCCTGGGCACCCTGGCTGAAACTGAAGGGAGGGTCTCAAGACACTGAGGGGGGCAAAAGCAGCAGAGGTCCCACGAGGTCACAGAGGAGCGGGGCAGGTGCGTAGGGCCTGAAGGCCCTGAAGCCCCATGCTGTACTGGACAGGCCTGTGTGGCGACCTTGGGCCCCCCCCCCGTGTCACACAGACGTGCAGGGCGAGGGACGGGGGGGTGAGGCACTCACTGCAGGCTGATGTGAGGGGGCAGCTTGAAGGAGTTTTTCAGGATGTGGAGCTGCTGGACCTTCCCCGGCTGCCCGGCGTGAATAGCCCCCGTTATCTCAAAGGCCCAGGCATCCCTCTCTTCTCGGGAACAGGCCTCCAGGAAGTACTCAGTGGATGTTCGAGTCTTCAGCTTAATGAGGAGCTGCGGGAAGAGAGAGCTGGTCAGACCAGCACTCAGAGGCCTAGCAGGCAAGAGAATGGTGGTGGGCCAGCAAAGATGACAGGGCCACAGCAACCAGGGACACACAGGTCTGGCGGCTGCCAAATGCCCAGCCCCTCAGCCACATCCCAGTGGGTGGTCTTCAAAGATCCCGGTGCACACCTCAAGCCACAGGGAGCTCGTGGCCTCCTAAGGTAAGCTTTTCCTCCTGCACAGACTGTATAGCATAGGGACTGCTTCCTGGGCACTTTGCCTCCCTGCTTCTGACTCTGCCTTCGAGAACCACACAGACTAAACTTACCTCCCACGACAGCCCCTGGGCTGAAGTGGGAAATGCACTGGCTTTCAAGTCAGACCGATCTGAATGCAAATCCCAGCTCTGCCACTTAGCTACGGACACTTGGGCACATTAAGGAACCCCACCGGGCCTTTCTTCATCTGTCAAATGGGGATATGAACACCTACCTCGGAGGCACTGTTCCTTATGCTCCCTTCCGTGCTCTTGTCTTTAGTCTAAGCATCCCCAGTCTTTTGCACACTTCTCATAGGGTACGGTTTAGACTCAGCCAGCTCATGCTCTGCTACACGTTCTGCATTTGGTCAAAATTCTCAGAAGCTCTGACCCATGGAACGGAACCAGCTGCTCCGGAAAAGCTCTGAGGGACACGGGGTGCATGGGGCCTGCAGCCCGAGCTCACACTGACGGCATGGTAGACTAGCTCCATGCAGTCAGCCGAGTCCTTCTGAGGTAGGCCGCGTCTCCTCCATTCCCTAAATGTGCATTGAGGGGTTTTTTTGACCACTGTGGGATGCTGACCCTATTAAATATCATCTGAGTAGACTGGGCCTACCACTTCTGTTGGAAAACAGAGGCATTCTTTTTTAAGATTTTATTTATTTATTTGACAGAGAGAGAGCAAGCACACAAGCAGAGGGAGCAGCAGGCAGAGGGAGAAGCAGGCTTCCCGCCGGGCAGGGAGCCCGACACAGGGCTCGATCCCAGGACCCAAGGGATCATGACCTGAGCCGAAGGCAGACACTTAACCAACTGAGCCACTGGGGCACCCCAGAGGCATTCTTTCATTCCCATTCTGGTTTCCAATGTATTAGCTCCCAACTTGCTTTGGTTGCAAACTTAACATCCCTCCTCTCAACTAACAGCAAAAGCGGTGATAAGACAAGGCTGGCTCACAGTCCCAAAGAATACCATGAGTCTGTTCCTCTAAGTTAACACTGACTCACTCATCAGCACTGTGGGAGAACAAATTCAACCAGCTCCCTGTACCTGCACTATCAGTGGGCAGTCAACATTTTAATGAAAGAATTTCAGGAGAGACTATAAAATTCCATGTGAAATCCAGGCATATTCTTTTATAGCTTCGCTAATTTAAAATATATATATACACACACACACATATACATATATATATGCTTTATAACTTGTTCTTAGTGAACATACGGGCTCCTCTTGACCTCTTCCAGCTCAAGGACTCATGAACCACGCAGATGACAATCTGGGAATTAACACGAAGCTCACAACTCCAGTTAGCAAATTTAACTTGTGTCCTTTTTTGGAAGTTTTTCTATGTCTAGCCAATTTGACCAGCACTTTTGCTTTCTACCGTTCCTTAAAGAGTATTAAGGGGCATTGGGTCAACAAGTTAACCTACAAGTTCTGGGGTGTAATTTATGGAGAACTAGAGCCTTAAATTCACTTAGAAAATTAGGGTTTTTTTCTCTTAAAATCATCTCACTTATCTGTAAATTTGTCTTCTTTCTTAAACATTAATTCAGCAAACATTTGCTAATTGTCTGCTATGTGTCCAGACACCGTGTTTGGTCTTCCGATGTGACAAGGAGGAAGGTGCAGCCCCAGTCTGCCCAGGCTGGGCATTCTCTGGCATCCCTACCTCCACCCAGCAGAACACTACTTGTCCTTCTTCATCATCAGCCCATGTAGGCTGGCAGTGGGAAACTGCAGAAGGGCATTTCCTTTTTGCAGCCTCCTAGGCTGGAATGACCCTCACCACCTCCCTCTTCTTTGCCCTCAACATCCAGTCAAATATGTCCTATGGACAGTTCCTTCATAATGTTTTCTCGTGTTCCCCCTACTTTTTGCCTTATTTCATGCCTCATTATTTTAATAGCTCCCTTTTTTTTTACTTGAGAAAGATTCAAAACCATAAAAGAGTACAGTGGTTAACGTAACAAATACCAGGAAACCCACCACCCAGAAAGGACTGTCATGAATATTTTCTTATACTTGGAAGGCTTGTCAATTGGTCTAAAAGAGTCAAAGAAGAAAAACATGGTAGGGATGTCTGCATGGCTCAGTTGGTTAAGTGGCTGCCTTCGGCTCAGGTCATGATCCCAGGGTCCTGGGATTGAGTCTCGCATCAGGCTCCCTGCTCGGTGCGGAGTCTGCTTCTCCCTCTGCCTCTGCTCCCTCCTGCTTGTGCTCTCTCTCTGACAAATAAATAAAATAAAATCTTTTTTTAAAAAAAAAAAACATGGTAAGAAAGAAGAAAATGGTGGGGCGCCTGGCTGGCTCAGTTGGTGGCGCATGTAACTCTTGATCTCAGGGTTGTGAGTTCGAGCCCCACATAGAGAATACTTAAAAAAATAAAAAAGAGAAAGAGAAAGAAGAAAATGTAAGATCCCTTCTTTATGGATCTAGTAACTTATTAGGAACAGAACGCAGTTCCTCACTTTAGTCCTCCTAAGAGTGTTTTTACCCATCCATTCTCTCACTCAGAACCTTCGATGGCTCCCCATTTCCTCCATCTGGCCCCAGCCAATCTCCCATTGCTCCCTGGGTGAACATTCCCCTCTGGCCACACGGGCCATTGTTATCTCCAAATCAATCTCTCCCTCTTCTACACTTTTCCACCTGCCCATAACGTCTGCCTTTCTCCTCTTTCAGATCTTTGCCAAATCTCTATTCCTCCCAATGCTGTACCTGACTCAGCCTCTAATTACATCTTCCTCCTCTTCGGGAATACAGTGTTCTCTACAGCTAATCATGTTTGTGCCAACATTTGGAATTCTGAATGTTTTTCATTTAACCATTTGCTTTCATAATAAGATTAATAACTCAAGGAGAAACAGTCTAACCATTTTCTTCCTTGACTCCTCCAAGCCTAGCAAATTTCTTGGCACATATTGGGCCCTCAAAAACGATTGATTCAGATACCTTTTTGATGGTGGGGTTGAAACTGCACCTGACTTTTGGAACATGCACCCCCCTCAGGGGATAAAAGCCACCATATTAAATTCCAAGGTAGCAATAATTGTGCCCATATATGTAGTGCGCCTCCTAGTCAACCAAGTGCTTTGACAGACCATCACCTTCTGTCATGATCCCCAACATAATCACAGGAGATAGCAAGGTGTCATTATTCTACCCCATCTCATAGATGAGGAACTAAGGCTCAGAGAGGTTCAACTACTTGCCCAAGGTCACGCACCTGGTACATAGTGCAGCAGGACTTGAATTTAGGTTTTTCAATAACTCAGCTCTTCACCCACATTACTCTCACCAAAGAGGCCAGAGCTGGGAGGGTCCGAGGCAGGGGGAGCCGGGAAGCAGGGGCCTTCACTTACTGGTCGGTTTTCATACTCCAGGCAGGGGCAGGTGATAGCACAGCCATCCAGAAGGATCCGGCCCTTGGGAGGGGTCACCTTCCGACCCCCCTCAAGCTTGTAGTACAGCAACGTGTTTTGCCGAAGGATGAACCATCGTGCCTTCCAGTTGTGGACAATGTGACCCTGAGGACGGACAGGAGAGCCCAGCAGTAAGGTGGCTGAGGGGACCAAAAAGGGGGACAGCATTATCTGTTTTTAAAAAAACCTCATTTTATTTTTTTAATTTTAAAATAATTTCCATTCAGAGGCGCCTGGGTGGCTCAGTCAGTTAAGCGTCTGCCTTTGGCTCAGGTCATGATCCCAGGGTCCTGGGATCGAGCCCCGCATCGGGCTCTCTGCTCCGCGGGGAGTCTGCTTCTCCCTCTGCCTCTGCCTCTTCCCCGCCCTGCTCATGCTCTGTCTCTATTTCTCTCTCTCTCTCTCTCAAATAATAAAATCTTTAAAAAATAAAATAATTTCAATTCAGAGAAAAGCTGAAGAATAGTATTAAAGAACTTTTTTACAGAATCATTTAAGAGTAAATTTTTTTTAGCACTAATTAAATAAGAGTAAATTTTTAACATTGATGTTCCATCACTTCTGAATATTTTATTGTGTATCTCCTACAAAAAAGGGGAGGTGAAATATTTCCAACATAACCACAATGCAACCATCAACAGCAGGAAATTTCCATTAATATGTTATCTTCACCGATTCCACAACCCCCATCCAAGTTTCACCAATTGCCCCAATAATGTCCTTAATAGCCAAAGGATCCAGTTCAAAAATCATACCTTTTATTTTCATTTTCATGAAAAAAGTGTTATCTGTCTGGATCTCCTTGTCATCTCTTTTGAGTATGTAACAAAGACCTTTGGCATTGACCTTCTAGTTCCCAGTTAGCCTTTTCTGTGATTATAAACCTTGAAAGAAACTGTGAAGTATACAGAAGAGAGAGTTCTACCACTAGGAGATAGTCATTGCTAACACTTTGTGTTTTCTTATAGTCTTTTTTCCTCTTCGTTTTTACTTTCTGGTTTTTAAAAAAAACAGGACCATATTACCTACAGTTTTATTATCTAGTTTTTGTTTTGTTTAGCTTTGCTGAGCATCTTCTCACACCAATGTTTCTTTAAAACATGTTTTTTATTTTTTTATTTATTTTTTAAGATTTTATTTGAGAGAGAGACACAGCGAAAGAGGGAACACAAGCAAGGGGAGTGGGAGAGGGAGAAGCAGGCTTCCCGCGGAGCAGGGAGCCCGATGCGGGGCTCGATCCCAGGACCCTGGGATCATGACCTGAGCCAAAGGCAGACGTTTAGCCGACTAAGCAACCCAGGTGCCCCTAAAGAGCCTTTTTCTAAAACAGAGCAACAGATGAGGAAATGTCTACTGAGGAATTAGAAAGGAATGGGTTTAGTACACGCTCATGAAAGCAACTTTCCTGGCATATTTCCCAGAGCAGAGCCCAATAAGGACTGGATTCTAGAGAGATGCACTTTATCTGAATCAGAGGCCATTTCCCCGATTCACGCCTTTCCTTAATTTCCTAGCATTTAATTATTTCAAAGGCTCCCTGTGTTCTCACATCTGTGGTATTGGAATAGCTCAGCGTGTACCGAGTGCTGTTAGGGAACCAAAAGTTGTAGAAGGAGTTGACAGAGCGAGCACTGGACTGTGAATTTTACGTTTTGCTCTCCCCACTCTGTCCCATACTTAGGATCGACATGTAACATGATGGTTAACAGCTGTCCTTGACGTGGGTAGACAAGTTTAAAGAAACAAAAAAAGATTTGGCTCTGGCTACTCAGCCGCGGGGGTTCTTTACTGCTCTCCACGTGGCCCAGACTCGGGTCCTCTTTCTTGATGACCCCCTACTGAGGGGCTCCTGGAGCAGCATTAGCACTAAATTGCTGGCTCAAAAGCTTGTATATGGGGCGAAGGCAATCCTAGTGGATGGAATGAGGGCAGTTGTGAGGTGGAGAAGGAACGAGGGCAAAATAATCTTAAACCTTAAAACATAGGTGTTACGGGCTAAATTACGTCCACCCTCATGCACACACATTCATATATTAAAGCCCTAACTCCCAGTATTGACTGTATGTGGAGACAGGGCTTTAAAGAGGTGATTAGGTTAAAATGAGGTCATTAAGGGGGTCCTAACCCAATCTGCCTGGGGTCCTTATAAGAAAAGGACACTTAGACACACAGACATCGGGGAGGCATATGCACAGAGGAAAGACCTTGCGAGCACACAGCACGAAGTCGCCCATCTGCGAGCTGAGGAGAGAGGCCTCAGAAGAAGCCAAACCTGCTGACAGCTTGACTCGTACCCTAGCCTCCAGAACTGTGAGAAAACAAATCTCTGCTGAAGCCGTCTTGTCTGTGGTATTTTTATTCTGGCAGCTCTAGCAAACTAAAACAACAGGGAGAGGAGAAATGGGGCTTAGAGATATCAGAGAGAAAATTGTCACCAACAGATGTTGAACAGGACAAACTAATATGGAGATTCTGTACTTTCCTGGACAAAATGCTACATCTCCCAGAATCCCTGGCACGAAGGCAACAGGCGGGTGACCAGGTCGCTGCCACTCTCTGGCACGGGGAACTGATGCATATCTGACAGCAACAGGGGGAAACGGGAATTTTGGGCAAGAACAGTGTTGGAAGAACGGGTTCTTCTGACACCAGTCCCCAGAGCTATCAGTGACAAACGGCAAATAATGTCAGCAGTGATGTTCCCACTAGAAATGTCTGGTGGTGCTGTTGGGTATTTTTGTCCAGCTACATCGTCCCTAGCTATATGGCATCCCAGCCAGGTTCACTGGCCCTCCCAAATATTTCTGAGTTACTTAATAATTAATATTCCTCCATGAAATCCCCTTCTGTTCAGACTCACTAGAATGGAATGTTTATGAGCAACTGCGGATCCTGACAGCAAAGGAGAAAGGTCTGCAGAGAAAGGCTGATGAGAAAGGACTGACTGTGTAGGAAGAAATCCTGAAGCAGCTGGTGACCCTCATAAAAAATGTTCAAGTTCTTTGATCCAATAATTCCACTTCCGAGGATGTGTGCTGAGTAAATCATCTAGGATATGGAAAAGGTTTTATGTATTGAGACACTTTGAATCATTGCTTATGATAAAATAATCAAAATATTCTAACTGTGTAACAACACCGTGCCCACTGTGGCTGTAGAGGAGGGATTCCAATCCTAACAGACGGCAGGAAAAGTCACTGGTGGAACCCTCAAGGTCAAACGCAGCAGCCTGAGCCTACCAAGAATCACAGCACCCATGGTCTTCGACATAAGCAAAGCACTTTCACTTACACTTTTTTATATGATACCTAAAAATAATTCTAGTAGTTACTTTAGAAAATTTCTGAAGGGATACCTCAGGAAAGTTGATGGTTATCATCTCTAAGGACTAAGACTGGATACAGGGCAACAAGAATGAAAACTTATTTTTCAATTTACAGCCTTTACTACTTTTCTAGTTTTTTTAATAATAAGAATGTATTATTTTTATAATGTAAAATGAATTGAAATTCAAATAGACAAAATTCCTGATGAGATGACCAGGGAAATCATTCATTTATCAATTCATTCAACAATCAGTGGCTAACAACTACTTCAGCAAGCACTGTGCTAGCAGCAGGGAGACAAAGATGAACAAGATTCTGACCTAAGACAGTGGAAGAGACAGTGATGCCAGCCAGGGTGGTAAGTTCTAGGACAGACAATAGGTGGGGTCCCCCAGGATTCCCACCTCCTGATATTACACCCTTGTATAGTTTCTTCCCACAGTGTACAAGGGTTGGTCTGTATGACCAAAAGAATATGGCAGAGGGATGATTTGTCAGTTGACATTAGGTTATAAAAGACCCTGTAGCTTCAGTCTTGGGGACTCTCTCTCTCTCTCTCTCTCTCTCTGACCATGTATTCCAGGGAAAGCTAGCTGCCACATCATGACCAGCCCCTACAGAGAAGCAAGGAACCCAGGCCACTAGCCAGCAGCCGTGTGAATGAGTTTGCAGTTGGATCCTCTGGTCAGCCAAGCCTCCAGGAGACTACCACACTGGGCAACATTTTGGCTGGAACCTCATGAGAGACTTGAATCTTGCAGCTAAGGTGTTCCTGAATACGTGCCCCTCAGAAACCACGTGAGATAATAAATGTTTATTGTTTTAAGATGTTAAGCTCTGGGGTGATTATTACAGAACAACAGAGAAGTAAAACAGGTCACGATGCAAACCCCAAGAAGCAGCTCTGCTGATGGAGGAAGCTCCAAGGAGGCTGAGTGGGCTGAAGAAGGCTCCGGAAGGGCTGATGCTAGGGCTGAGTCTGGAAGGCTGAGTGGAGTTGGCCAGGTCAGGAAGGCAGGGAAGGGAGAGCTTGAGCCACTTACACTTGTGAGAAACTCCAAGTGGTTCTATCTGGCTTTAGCTCAGAGGCCTGTGGGCAAAGGACAGGGGAAGTGACGCGGGTCCAGTGGGCTTCAGGTTCCATGTTGCAAAGTTTGATCTTTATACTGTAGCCAGAGGGGAGTCCTTTAAGACTTTTAACTAGAAGGACGACAAAAAGCTTGGGTTCTCAAGTTTAAAAGATCACCCTGACCACACTGTGGCAGAAGGGCTGAATGAAGCAGGCCAGACTGCAGCAGGCAAGCTCAGCTGGAGGCTGCAGTAACAATCCACCAAATGGGAAGGAGAGCACGATTACCCCTGGTCTACAGATAAACACGCCATGCTCAGAGGAAATAAGGAACTGGTTCAAAGTCAGCAGGTAAAGGGGGTCAGAGGCCAAAACCACAGTGGTACAGCTGAAAAATATGCCAGGCCTCCTCTACCCGGACAATTTCTTCCCTCTCCAGGCTCCTTGTCTGCAAGTAGCTGGCTGGGGCCAGAGGCCCGCTGGACCACGAGCGGCTTAGGGTCCCCAGAACCTCTTTAGGGGGAAGGAGGAGAGTCCATAAGGTAGGACAGCACCTCCGCAGTTGGGCTTAAGAGGCATGGAATGTTACAGCTGGAGGGACCCTTTGAAAAAGTCCATACTACTCCCTAACTTTAATGATGAGGAAACTAAGGCCCAGAAAGTTCTTGCCCAAGACCCTACAACCCCAAAGAAGCAGAGATGGTACTTGTTATGGACTGAATTATGTGCCCCAAAAAGGTATGTTGAATTCTTAACCCCTGGAACCTACGAATGTGATCTCATTCGGAAATGGGGTCTTTGCAAATGTGATCAGGATAAGATGAAGTCATCCTGGATTAGGGTGGCCCTAATACTAATGGTGTCCTTATATGAAGAGGAGAATTTGGACACTGAGACACACAGGGAGAAGATCACCATGTGACCATGGAGGCAGACATTGTAGTGGTGCATCCACAAGCCAGGGAATGCTGTGGATTGCCTGTGTCAGATGATGGCTGGGTCTCTACCCCCCATTCCTGGCACAGAGCTCCTGAAACCCTTGCAATTTCCTGGGTGCTAGGAGCATTTTTTGTTCTCATGAGGTAACTCTGGGTAGGCTCCTGGATGAAGGCTGGTCACCATAAAGAACATGCCACAATTAGAAGCTTGATTCTCTTGAGAGGGGAGAAGGGCTGAAAATGGAGTTAATGATCAATCACATCTCTGTGATGAAGTCTCCATAATATCCCAGCAGTATGGGGTTCAGAGAGCTTCTGGGTTGGTGCATACATGGAGGTACTGAGACGGGCATGCCCGGAGAGCACAGAGAAGCTCCATGCTCCTTCCTGCATACCTTGCCCTACACAGCTTTTCCAACTGCCTGTTCATCTGTATCATTTATCAAAGCCTTTAGTAAATTGGCAAATGTAAGTAAGTGTTTCCCTGAGTTCTGCGAGCCACTGCAGCAAACTAATTGAAATGGTCATTGGAACATCCAAACAATTATCCAAACAATTAGTCCATTTGTCAGAAGCACAAGTGATAACTGGGGCTTGTGACTAGTGTCTGAAGTATGGATGGGTACAGTGGGGTGGGGGTGGTGGGGGGCAGTCCTAGGGGACTGATCCCTTGACCTGTGGGATGTGATGCCATCTCCAGGTAGATAGTGTGAGAACTGAGTTAAAGACATGCTGCTGGTGCCACAGAGAATTGCCTGGTGTGGGGAAAAACCTCCACACATTCGGTAAAAGTAAAGGAGACTCACGGGATAAAGAAACAATAGGAAGGAACAAAGTTTTTCCCTACAGGGAAAGGAAAAATCTGGGTTTTTCTTTTACAGCCTGTAAATACCAAAGCAAAAGAGGCAAGGGAGGACTCTCCCCTATAGGCTTCAGAGGAAGGATGGCCCTGCCAACACCTTGATTTCAGACTTCCAGCCTGCAGAACTCCTTCTAGATTTTTTCCTAATGCCTTGTATATTTTTACTTTTTGGGTTATCATATTATAAGCATTTTAAACATCTGCATAATCATACTTAGTCATTTATTTGTGGAGACATATAGGTAGTTTCCAGTTTTTTCACTATAAAAATAACACTTTGGGGGCGCCTGGGTGGCTCAGTCGTTAGGCATCTGCCTTTGGCTCAGGTCATGATCCCGGGGTCCTGAGTTCGAGCCCCACATCGGGCTCCCTGCTCAGCGGGAGGCCTGCTTCTCCCTCTCCCTCACTTATGTTCCCTCTCTTGCTGTGTGTCTCTCTCTGTCAAATAAATAAATAAAAACTTAAAAAAATAACACTTTGTTCATAAAGTTTTAATGGTATTTCCTTGGGATAGAGTCCGACAAAGGAAATTTTTAGGCCAAAGCGCATTAACATTGCCCTGTCATTTTCTAAGAGTGTCATCGGAGGTGTAAGCCAGCCGCAATGCCTGAAGGGCCTCAGCGTCTTCTTAAAGGAAGAGCAACCTTGCCCGTGCTGATCCCGCTTCCTTCCCCCTCACCCTCCTTTAAAGCCAGGCCAAGTGAGAGCCCTGCATTTTGCCTGGAGCTTTGCTTCTTTCATGTCTGGGCGGGAGTGAGAGCCAAATCCATCATGCCCCTGCCCGTCTCCTGCTTCACCCTCACCCGTGATGACTGTACTCTGGGCTTCCAGCTCAGGCCCTGCCCCATCCCTACCCCCCAGGGCTGTAAAGCCTCCTAAATCTATGGAATCCTATGGCCATAGCCCTGCAACTTCTCCAGGGGACACAGAGCTGCTGTTGCCACCCAGGTGGAAAGGGGTTAAGGGGAAGAAAAAGCTGAGATGGATCCGTAGGCGGGAACTGGGAGCAACCCCCCCCCCAGGTCCCTCACCTAGAAGGAAAGGGTGTGGCTTCCCCTGGCCTCCGGGGTCAGCCTCCACACTCCCGTCTTTGGAATGAGCTTTCCCCATGTCAGCCAGGCCCAGGCTTTGGGGGCTAGCCCTGTTGACTGTCCGCACTTCCCTGTACCCAGACTCCCTATGCCAGCCACCCAGGACTGGGCAGCCATCCTGAAGAGAACTCATGTCCTTCCTTCCCTGTGGCCTTCCCTGACTCTCATGGAGGCGGTGGTGGGAATCTTGTGAGGTAACCCCAGCAACAAGGGGAGGCCCCTACCAGGTAGCCCCAACTGTCTGGACAATCAACAATGCCCACCAACCCGCCTGCCCAGGTCACACTCTTCCTCTCACCTCAGGAGCTGCAGGAAAGTGGGAGGCTGCTGAAGCCCTCCCACAGGTTTGGCTCTCTGAGGTGCAGTTGCCGCCACAAACCGGGAGGGACCAGCCTATCGCTCTAACCACCGTGGCTTGGAATTTGCTACCTGCTCGTGTCCAGCCTGACCCTTGATCAGGCATCAGCCTCCCACTACGCCTCCTGCTTACAGTTTTAAGCAAACACACCCGCCCTCCTATATCAAATAATGTGCAACACAACATGGCTACATTACCTACTCAACTGAAAGCAACTGGAGACTTCGGGGGTACTCTGGCCTCCATGGGAAGTAATGCCAGGGGGAGCCCCTTCATCCCTCTTCATCCATCTCCCTCCCAAAGCTATAATCTCAGTAGAAGAGCCAAAAGGCTCATCCCCAGATTTTATGCTCTGCTGTTATGTTAGTACAAACCCTCAGGGTCAACATCAATGTTGAAAGAACTGTAAAATACCGAACCTCCTCTTGCTGCTGCTCTTTGGTTCATTTCCCACCTTGATCTGTGTGTTCTGTGTCTGTCTGGACTCTTGCACGTGCGCCGTGGCAAGGACTGAGGATGGAGGTTGGGTCCCAGTCGTTATTAGTCCTGGGGCTCGGGGCAAGCAGTCTCATCTGTCATTCACTGATAACAACACCCACCCTGCGGTGGGACAGATCAAGGCTTGGAGTCAACCTTAGTGGGTTTGCACCTGCTGCATCACCCACGAGCTCCCAGATCCTGAGCACACTGCTTAATTCACCTCCTTGAACTTTGTTTCTCCTTTGGGGAGAGGGAGGAATGCGGTGCTCCACGTGCGGGCAGTGCTTCAGCAGCCCGGGCTGCCTCCTTGCCCAGGGGTTACTGTGGAGAGTGCGGGAGATGGTGCAGAGATGGGCGCTGCGAGCCCCAGAGCACACTTACGTCGCGTTAATAGAGCAAATTTACATACGGTCCTCTCCGCATCTTAGTAAGTTGTTTTAACTAAGATGTCCGCCTCAGGAGCCGCCCCCCACCCCATACCACCGGCCAAGCGGGATCTCCTCCTTGCCTGTGCCCCGGCCGCTCTGTTCACCCGAAGCCGCCCTCCGCCCCCGGCCCCCGGTCGCCCCCGGCCCGCCGAGCCCGCCATCGGGCGCGGGCTGGGGACCCGGCTCCGGGAGCCGCCGCCTGCCGCTGGCCGCCGGGCCAGTGTCCGGAGAGGCTCCGGCGCGCTCACCCTCTTGACGAGGAAGCCCTCCTTGAGCACGCCGTCCTCCATGTCGCCGCGCGTGCCCGCCGGACCTGCGGGCGCTCCAGGTGCGCTAACCGCGCTCCTCCCGCGCCCGCTGCGCCCAGGAAGCGCCGCTTCGCGGGCGGCGCCTCCCTGGCCCGCGTCCAGAGCCCGAGGCCGCGGGGCCTCCCGGGCAGGAAGTCACGCCAGGTCTGGGTTTCTGACGCGGTTGCCCCCGCCAAGGTGCGCTAGGGTCCGCGGCTAGGCCTCCGGGTACAGAGTCTGCCAGCTCTCGGCGTCCCGCCCTGCCGTCGCCTCCGGGAGCCTTCCCGGCCCCGCGCTCTCCGACCGGGCGGGGTGCCCCATCCAGGTGCCCCCAGCGCGCTCGGCGCCCATCTTCGCCCGCCGCCAGCCTTAACCAGCTGCCTGCCTGGCCCTTGAGTAATATTTACGGAATTAAACCGAACTGAGGATTTTCAAGAATTCGGAGTCATCCCCGAGCTCAGTGGAAATGCGGGTGGGAGACTGGATGCAGTGGAACCAGGCTAGGAACTTTACCCTAGCCTCTGGTGGGGATACAGAGCAAAGTTCCCATTCGCAAAAAAAGGTCACAGGTTTAAAGAAGCAGGCACAGATTGCCTCCAAAATTCACCCTCCCACCTTCCAGTCCCCCTAAAAATGCTAGAGCTGGAGAGATTCCATCATTAGAGGCAAAATTTAAGGGAACGCAAGGAACTCAGTAATCTAGATAAATTATATTTTAACTCAATATTTTTTAAAATAAAAAATCCGGGATGAACAAAATACCAAAATTTTAAATGAGGACAAACAATTGGAGCATGAAACAAAAGGAAACATAGTAATACTGATTCTGTCTAGTAATCCATATTCAGCTTGTTCATTGTTTGCACTGTGTGTGAAGGCCCCCCCTTAGGACTGTTCACCAGGATGGGGAAAGGCCCCAGAGACCTAGAAGGGAAGAAAAGTTTCTGTCCCGAGAAAGTACCCCAGGCTGCCTTTCAGAACCAGCCTGGGGCCAATTCCCAAACCACAAAGGGCACTCCTGCCCTGGAAATGGCCCCACTTCGGGCTTCTCACTGACTGACTTCACATCTCCCAGTGAGTCCAAAAGGAATGGGGCTTCCACTCCATTTCAGAATGAACATAGACTCACTTTCTGAAGCCAGGTCTGTAGTGGGTGCTAGGTTTTATTTAATGCACAGCAACTCCATTAAGTGAGTTTATTATCCTTTTTTTTTCCTCCCTCAGCAAAGGAAACTGAAACTCAAAAGCAGTTAAATAACTTGTCCAAGGTCACACAAGGTAGGATTTTAATTATGATGCACTTGCTTCTCAGTTCTTGAGCTGGGAAGAGGAAAGAATCCTATGAGCTCTGAAATCTTGCTGGGCTCAAACCTAGGACATGAGAGGATAGAATAGGAAATTCTTATCCTCTTTGGCTCCAGGTATGGTCTGTTCATCTCCTGCATACATAACCTGCTTCCTGTCCTGGGGAAGCCCCTGGTCCAGCCCACCCCAGGTCTGACTCACTAAACTCAGAGCATGGGTCACACTCCTTCCTCATCCAGCTGTCTAGCCCACCAGGGAACTACACTGACATAAGCCTGATATAACCACTGGGAAGAGGATGAAGACAGAGGAAGCAGACGCTGGTGAACAGCTGAGACTTGGGGAAGGGAGAAGGAAAGGGAAGGAAGCTCAGAATGTAAGAGTTTATCTTGCTCTTCTAGGCAGACACCAATCCCCTCCCTCTCAAGGCTTAGGCTAATGTGGAAGGATCCCGGACTCTCTTGAAGGTCAGATAATATCTAGAATGTGTGAGTTGTAGAAAGCTATATGGTCAGTGTTTGGGTGGCCCAATGTGAAATTCCACCATTAGAGAGTCATTCCTTTAGCTATAAATAAGAATCCACTGTTTAAGATACAGCAGAGAAAGGTAAATCATGGAGTCTTACTCACAATGAATACATTGACTTAATGAATGTATCAGAATCACAGAATCAGAATCTAACTGTTAAACCATCCAATCTAGACACTTCATTTTATAAATGAGGACTCCCAAAGCCCAGAGAAATAAAATGACTTGTCCAAGGTCTCACAGCCAGTTAGTGGCAATGCTAGGACCAGAAAACAGGCTAACAGTGTAAGTACTTCAAGGCTAACTCTCAACAAATGCAGAGTCACTTTCCTCAGCAGTGTCCTGCATCAGAGTAGGACTGCCTTCCGGGAGTAACTACACAGGCTGGAAAGAGTTCTGTCTGCAAAGCCAGAAAAGGCTTTAAACAATGTTTTTTATGTTTTTTGCTGACATAAATAATTTTTGTGCTCATTATACAAAATTTAGAAAATACCAAAAAAAGATAAGACCACCCAAATCCCATTATCCGGTCAGATAAGTATTTTCACATGCACATATTTTTTATTTAAAAATTCTTGAACCTTGTCTTTTTTCATTTATAATAGCTAATAAGCACCTTAGCAGATCATTAAAAATAATTAAAAAACATAATTTTAATGGTTGAATAACATTTCATTATACCTGTATCATAATGTATTTCATCGTTTCCATTTAGGTTGAATTTCCTGTTTCTTTGTGTAAATGATGATATGATAAATACCCTAATACACAAACATTCTGCCACATCTGTTATTATTTTGGACATATGTGGGTTTTTTGAAAAAGATTTTATTTATTGGGGTGCCTAGGTGGCTCAGTTGTTAAGCGTTTGCCTTTGGCTCCGGTCATGATCCCAGGGTCCTAGGATTGAGCCCCGCATCAGCCTCCCTGCTCAGTGGGAAGCCTGCTTCTCCCTCTCTCACTCCCCGCTGCTTGTGTTCCCTCTCTCGCTGTCTCTCTCTGCCAAATAAATAAGTAAAATCTTTAAAAAAAAGAACAGATTTTATTTTAGAGAGAGAGAGCTCGAGCAGAGGGAGGGGCAGAGGGAGGAGAGAATCTTAAGCAGACTCCCTGCTGAGCCCCACGCTGGGCTGATCTCAGGATCCTGAGATCACGACCTGAGCCCAAACCAAGAGTCAGACGTTTAACCGACTGAGCTACCCAGGCACCCCTGGATAAATGTTTAAAGCATGCTTTTAGGTTAAAGAGTATAACGTTTAAAAATTCTTGATATATGGGCGCCTGCATGGCTCAGTCAGTTAAGCGGCTGGCTCTTGGTTTGGGCTCAGGTCATGATCTCAGGATCCTGGATTGAGGCTGGGCTCTGCACTCAGTGGGGAGTCTGCTTGAGGATTCTCTCTCTCTCCCTGTCCCTCTGCCCCTCCCTCCCTCCACCCTTGTGAACTTTCTCTGTCAAATAAATCAATAAATCTTAAAAAAAAATTTTTTTTTTAAAGATTTTATTTATTTATTTGACAGAGAGAGAGAGTGCACAAGTAGGCAGAACAGCAGGGAGAGGGGAGAAGAAGAAGCATGCTTTCCGCTGAGCAGGCAGCCTGACGTGGGGCTCGATCCCAGGACCCTGGGATCATG